GTCTGACAAGCAATACAATAGTTTTTTAAAACAAGTTGCTAACCAAAATCTGTCACTGGTTCTAATCAATGTCAAAAACTAAATACAGTATTTAGTATTTACAGTATTTTCATTAAGTGTCTATCAATGAAATAAAAGAAATGTTAGGTCAAACAGAACTGAACTCAATGTTTGGACATTGTCGTATCCAGTAAACAATCTTACGTTATAATAGCATGAAATGGAATAAAAAAAATTAAAAAATAGAAATAAATAATTAAATTTGTTTATATCTAACTATCATTCATAATTTGATGCACAAAAGCAAGTCACTCAATGAGTGAATCAAGCACTTCCCATTTCAAAAACCAATAAAATCATTAAATATACACAACAATTCTGATTTCAAGATCCATTGCCCCCATGGGATGGGATCAAGGAGCTGCTAGATAGTGTGTTTATAATCAGCTGCAATTAATTTAATTACGGATCTCAAGAACACGTAGTAGTAAGAGTAGTGCTGATTCTGGCGAAGATATCCCTCTCTGTCCTCCTAACAAATATGAATTACCTTATCAGAGACCTTAAATATCCACCCTCATACGATTTTCCTAAAATCAAACTGTTGGTTCTGGTGCAGCTATTACCTAAGACGTTTACCCACCCTCCAAAAGAATATATATTACATATAAAAGCCAAAACCAGCTTTCTAAACGACTAAACTCTACCGTGTGGACGGATTTTGTTTAGAACATGTTACATCGTGTGCGCAATCTGGAAATCAAATCAATACCCACATCAACCAAGCCTTACACAAATCAATATAACATCTGTTTCAGTACAGTTTATTCATGGTTTTAAAATTTCATGTAATTAGTCACCAGCAGATTTTATATGCGATCAAGTAAGTTAAGTTTTTAAAAACATTATTTTTATTGTTTAGATAAAATTTCATATCCTATCATACTCTTGATAATCTTTTTCATACATGATGACTCATTGATAGATTATCCGTTAACATTCTGTCAATAATACGAAATTCACGATTCAAATAGTCAATATCATAATTTACACCTCGCAAGTAATATCGTATATGATCAAAGACTTTTTTTGTAAGTTATACTAGCTGTTTTACAGACATTTGTTTATTATAAGTCGATGTTAATCTTTTTTTCACGCTGTTCCAAGAGAAACACCAATTCCCGATATTATTAGAAAGAAAAAAAAAACGGATTTATGATTCTCCACTCGAATTAATATCAGAGATGGCCATTAGTAGCGGTAAATATGATATCCTATTTTTCTTGTAATAATATTCATAACATTTTTTACACACCAAGTTTTTTTTGATATTTGTAGCATCAATTTAGCGCGTCCACATCTTGCTTTTGGAATTTCTTTTGAAATATATTTGAAATCAACTCTACTTTTTCATTATATAATATTTGTTTATATAGTGTTCAGGTTTTATTAAGTAATTGTGTTTCAGTCACGAATTCCAGACACCACCAGAATCACGCTGCGTTTAATTCTCTGTCCTATGCTATCAGCATAAAAGTTTATTCGAAATCTTTATTTAACACTATAGACACGGTTCCAGGGACACCATCAGTCTAGTGACGCCATGGAAATATGGTAAATATACTAAACATTGTACGGTTAAACAAGAACAGCCTGTAAACACCAGAGACAACTGTAGCGTGATTGAGAGTGTTGCTTTGCTTTGACCATGCTACTGATTCTGATGTTACTGTGTATACAAGATGTTTAAATTGTTTTTCAACGACATCAGGAATCGCACTGACAATATCGTTGAGTTTTACATTAATATCATAAAGTTAAATATCAACAGTTGTCGGATTCAAAAAAAAATTGTTATTGGCTCTGCAAACGTTTCTGCGAAAATTTAAATACGTTTGTATGTTTTTAGAAAAAATAATAATGGAGTGTAGTCTTTCCATCATTAATTGTGGCTCACTATTGAATTCAGTTATTTATTACGACGCAGCATATTTAATTACACGATTCAACAAACTACATACTTTAATCTTGCATGTTAATTTATCGCTACATGCCATATAGGTATGCATGCAAGAGAGAGAGAGAGAGAGAGAGAGAGAGAGAGAGAGAGAGAGAGAGAGAGAGAGAGAGAGAGAGAGAGAGAGAGAGAGAGAGAGAGAGAGAGAGAGCACATGGGTGGTATATTATGACACAGAAAAGCACGTAGTGAGTACAACAGAACTTCCTAAATATAATTAAGAGATGATCAGATCAGTAACAGAACCAACACCTCAGGTGTGCACTCCTACTTAAGACTTGAATTACATATAATGATATTAAATGGCAACAGTGAATAGGTCAATGTTTGTTGTTACAAAAAAATGCGATTGAAAAATTTATGAACAATTTGGTATAATACTTTAGAGATATTTTATTAAACTGTTATTCCTTTTACCATGAGTTTTTAATACACCTCGACCGTCGGCATTACTGATTATGGCTCGGGACTATTCAAATTTTAATTGTACACTTTTATCTCCAGTTTTATAAATAATACCATAGATTGAACATGAGAAATATATATATACAGAGCATTCATACATTAAATATGTTACTCATATTTAATCATATAATATGATAATTCTTGATATTAATATTTCATGTAAATTCCTATATCATCAATGTAACAGAAACTTGTAGAAGTATGTACTTATTGCATTAAGAGTCAGCAAAGATATATTGGTAGTGAACTGTCTTAAATCTCTTAAGTGTCAGAAAGGATGTATTAGCTGTGACCTGTCAAAAACCTCACTAAGAGTCAGCAAGGATATACTGACAGTGATCTGTCTTAAACCTAATAGTCAGCAAGGATATACTGACAGTCATCTGTCTTATACCTAATAGTCAGCAAGGATATACTGACTGCGATCTGTCTTAAACCTAATAGTCAGCAAGGATATACTGACAGTGATCTGTCTTTTACCTAATAGTCAGCAAGGATATACTGACAGTGATCTGTCTTAATCCTAATAGTCAGCAAGGATATACTGACTGCGATCTGTCTTATACCTAATAGTCAGCAAGGATATACTGACTGCAATCTGTCTTATACCTAATAGACAGCAAGGATATACTGACTGCGATCTGTCTTATACCTAATAGTCAGCAAGGATGTTTTGTTTATGACCTGTTGTAAACCACTTCGCTATGTCTGTTTCAACGATACAAGGATAAAAATACGAGCCTATACACTAAAATGTATTTACATTTTGTGGCAGTTATTTCGTATCGAAAACGAAATCATATTGTTCCATTTCTAGATTTTAAGATCATAGTTGTTCATATATTGTTAGAAATGGCACATATTTTCAGTGAAGATATCCCTTTCATTTCAAGAATACATTAAATCAAAATACACCAGAACGGTCAATACAAATTGGCTGTACGTTGAGAGTGCATTCCATTCAGTTAGAAAATATTAATTTGCAATATCAGCCGCATAATGCTTAGTTTTGTTTACTAACATTACGTATTATAGCTAACCATTTTCCACCAATATACATCCACCCCTTCCTCCACACATGTATGCTTATCACGTATTTACTGAGCACCTCCTAGTCGCGTATAATTACATACATATTAGATTATCGTTATGATGTTGCCACAATGATTGGGTTCCTTGCATATTTGCTTCATTATTTGTACACTTAAACACATTAGGCACTGTTGCATTAGTAATAATTTCGGATGTACTAAGAGATGTTACTAAAGTTAGACAATATCCTAAAAAAGCCATATAAACACATTATGCATGCTATTTTGGGGGGCTTTATTGTTTCTAATCACTTTTGGATGAAATTAATGGAACTTTTCGTGCAGATGAATTGTCTTAATATGTCATATCACATCTGTTTTGCTACATCAACTTGCTCAAAACAAAAGGTTAAACTTAAAAAAACTTAAAAGACATCTTTTAATTTTTATTGTATTTTAACTTTGCTTTACATTTAATGTATTAAGGAAGACTTAAAAAATATTTACCATTGTCTTAGGAACCATAATGATTAGTAACAGCTGATTTTTTTGTGTAGTGACACATAAACTGAAGCCTGGTGTATTATATACTGCTTCATAATGTTGAACAAATCATGGGAATGGTTCCAAAAATTGAACTCAAATATAAAAAGATATAGTTAATTCCAGTCGCAATAATAAAAAACTATTATTTTGATATTTACAGAAAGATTTTCACTCTTAGATAGTGGAAATGTCCTTGGAGGTACATAGTTAAGGGAGATAATTCAAGCAAGATTAAAGTATCACCCCCTTCATGATTTTCCTCGCTTTACACAGGAAGCGTTTCCTTTCATCAAATATCCTAAAGCTTTGTTTTTGTAACTACACGGATTCTCGATACTTATTATGTTAAAAAATTTCAATAACTTCTTAACCATGTAAAGGAAAAGTTCATCATCCATGCATGTTTAGAATAACATAGTTGCTTCTATGAAATCTAGTCTACTTATTGCATGAGCCTTTAGAAAGTTAAATGTATACGGATTCATACAAGCAAAATTGGCTGAAAGTTCCAAGCCATAATGTGCTTTTTTGTATCATTAGAAAAGGGAATATACAGTTATTCAGGTTTTTACTCAGATCAAACAAATTCACAATCTGATGCCACTCTTGTTCATAGCATGTATGACGGTTTTTGACATGATATATACTAAGACTGAACATTACGAATTTTAGAAACATTATTGGAGTGTGTGCATGCGTGCGTGCGTGTGATTTGGATTGTTAACGTAGTTTAAACGATTTTCCAATCATACACCTACGATGTCTGCAGGGTACTAATGTATACTGATGTCAAACACTGTGGCATCATGCCTCAGACATGTAGCATCATGTCCCACCCAGTCACATTATCATCGCACCAGATCGACTAGTCCTAACACTGACGTCTTAATTCTAAGTGACAAGCAAGACAGTTGCTAGTACCAATTTTATAAATCTTTGATATGACTAGGCCGAGATTCGAACCCGCGATCTTCCGCATCCGAAGCGGATGCTTTAACCACTTAGGCCACCAGATTGATCTATTGGATAGTAATATAATGGAAGTTTTATTAAAAATATAAGTTCTATTTGGCTCAGTTGCAGATTAGCACAAAGGTTTGCTTAAAGGTACATAACATCAACCAACCAACCAATCAATCAATCGACCAATAACATAATCAATTAATCGGCCAATAACACAATCAATCAATCAATCAATCAATCAATCAATCAATCAATCAATCAATCAATCAATCAATCAATCAATCAATCAATCAATCAATCAATCAATCAACTTTTCAATAAACCAATCAACTATTCAATCAATCATTCAGTCAATCAATCAAAAAAATCAAACAACCAACCAATCAGTCAATCAATCAATCAATCAATATGTCAAACAGTCAGTCATCAATCAATCAATCAATCAATCAATCAATCAATCAATCAATCAATCAATCAATCAATCAATCAATCAATAAATCATTTGATCGTTCAATTAATCATTTACTTAATAATTCAATCAATCCATCGATCAATCGATCAATTAATCAATCATTCAATTGATCGATCGATAAATCAATACATCTATCAATCAACCAAATGATCAGTCAGTTTGTCAGTCAGTTGTCTTTCATATAAATCAATTGCAGTTATTATCTTGTTTTCTTACATAATTTGTTGGTTAATGCATTTGTAAGGCTAAGCATGAATGAGGTTATCGGATGGTTATAATGTACGACCTTGGGTGTGCAGTATATCCATCCAACAAAAGGAGTTCATTTTTTCCCATATAAATAAAGTAACATTTCTATTATACGCTCATTTTCTTATTCTGTTCAATGCATACATATATTAACAAAAACACACTACAATAAACAAAGTAACATAATGTATGCCTTTTAAAAATTAAATATACAAGCTTTGCTGAATCATCGCACAAAATTATTAATGCGCACCAAACTCCACCCAAAAAAGATTGAAGTTGGTCGCTCAGTAGACGTATGTTTCAAATTAAAATTTCGTTTTGTGTACGTAAAACTGAAATTTGGAGTAATATTGTTAATGAATACGCATTTCAACAACTTTCTCTATCTGATCTAGAAAGCATATATGTTTGTATTCTTGTAGATTCGACGCAATATTGTGATTATGGTCTGGATTTATTTACGTGAAAGAATCTTACTTCAGGGTCTGTCAATTTAATCATACTGAAGTGTGTTGACATCTGCATGTTTGTTTCTGTTTTGTCATTTAATGATTCGGAACATAATGTGGGAAAATTATGAAGCATTTCAATTGCATTTATTGTAAAGATGCTGTGGAATTTAATGTTTATTTCATTTTGACTGCAGTCTGAAGGATGTAACTGTATTTAGAATATACTTAAAATTACAATGCAATTTAGAAATGTGTAATCAAACTTGAGAACCGATGACATTGCTCATTTAATTTGGATTTGCATAACATCGACATTATGTTTTGAGGAAAATTAGGATGCAAATTTGTAAGTATATTTTTTCAGTTTTATTATCAGCTAAGGAAAACAGTCTATGTCTTATAACTTGCATCTTATTATGTGAATCATGTCTGGCGTCTATAGATAGCCTAAATCTGAAACATTGTATCAAAAACGTTAATGCGGAATGCGCCAAAGCAGTTTGAGTCATTTTATAAAATATTTGCTGGTATGTGGCATTTCATGAAATATCTGCTTTAGCTCATTTAGTATATAATTGATAAAACGTCAAAACTACGTTATCAATCCAAATCACAGACACGCACACACACACACGCTCACACTGGTAGCTTTTTGCTAGAAAATATAATTATTTGTTTACAATAGAAATTATTTTTTTGTTCTCTCGCAGTAACTATAAATTTGGCGCGAGGAGTGCAATATAGCATAATATTGCACGATTCTGACAATGTAAAGTTAACGGAGAAAAAAATGATCATATATTAATGAGTGATACAGCGAACATACGTAAGATTGGATATACTAACCTACTGATAAATTGTTACCTCTCTTTTCTTTACTGCTGTAAATACAAATTAGCTGTTCATCTATACATAATTTACAGACATCAGAGAGTAATAATAGCATAATCTTTACAACAATTAGGGATTATCTCTAACAACTGTAGATTCCACCAACGCGTATATGGCACATAGGTAGAAGCTTTTGTTTTGACTCTCCGGCAATGCTATTTGGCAGCAGTTGTTATTGATATAAATACTTGCCATATTTCATATATGTGAGTTAAACACAATTATCTACTGCCATGACAATAAACATTTGCAATGACTAAAACCTGTCAAATATTTGGCAAGATTCAAGATTAAGTTAAGGAAATCTAACCAAATACCCCCTAATATGTATGTATGTATGTATGTATGTATGTATGTATGTATGTATGTATGTATGTATGTATGTATGTATGTATGTATGTATGTATGTATGTATGTATGTATGTATGTATGTATGTATGTATGTATGTATGTATGTATGTATGTATGTATGTATGTATGTATGTATGTATGTATGTATGTATGTATGTATGTATGTATGTATGTATGTATGTATGTATGTATGTATGTACGCATGTTGATTTTACTTAAAACTGATGTTTATTTAATAGAGCTGTGCGTCTTAAACAATCCCAGTAAGAATTTGTAAAACCTTCTAAACAACCTTTGTGTCGTTTTGAATCCCCCATGATTTCCTTCGTTTGATATGTTGTTAAATTTTTATTCTGTTAAATTGTTTTGTGTTGGTAATTTTCTTGATAGAGGAGAAAAATCTTTGTAACAGTTTGTTTTGCTTGGAAGAAGTTAGGTTTATCGTCCTGAATAATAAATGTTCAGCTTAGACTGAGGTTTGAATATTTGGAAGGCCATTCAACTGCAGAATATATAAATATATATATATATATATATATATATATATATATATATATATATATATATATATATATATATATATATATATATATATATATATATATATATATATATATATATATATATCTATATATATATATATATTTATATATATATATATATATATATATATATATATATATATATATATATATATATATATATATATATATATATATATATATATATATATATATATATATATATATATATATATATATCTATATATAGATATATATATATATATTTATATATATATATATATATATATATATATATATATTTATATTTATATATCTATATATATATATATCTATCTCTCTCTCTCTCTCTCTCTCTCTCTCTATATATATATATATATATATATATATATATATATATATATATATATATATATACTCAATGCTTTTACCCTGTATTAATTACCTGTCGTTCTTCTATTTTTTCATAATGTGTATTATCAACTGGTTGATGTACTCTCTTTATAGTATTTAATGTGTTTCTCTCAAAAGCAGTATCAAATTCTATACCTCTTTCTTTTATTACTTAAAATTATTTCATTGTAGTATGCGTTCTTAGGTTTCCAATATAGTAATTTCTGGAATAGGCCATTCTTGAATTAATCCCGATCATTTAGTATTATAGTCTCCTGCTATGCGATATATTGTATTCCCTATTTTACTGGTTTTTGCAGACATCATGCTACTAGGGTGTCTTTAACTTGCAACAAGAAAGTTTTATTGTGCCAGGCTGACATAAACGAAATTCTTGTTTTCTAGACTTCCAAGGCATTCTCCACGTTTTTTTTTTTTAAATAATTAAGTGGTATCTTTTAATTTTATTTCCAGCTTTGTCCATCAGTTTTACCAACCTCCTCATTATTATCTTTATGATGTTCTTTATGCATCTTATCTACAGATTTATCTTGACATACATAATTATTGCGACACCAAATGTCTCATTTTCCGCTTGTTTGCATTGATTCCAGTTTTCCCTTATATTTGCTTAGACATTGAAGAAACGAAACACTATATCTAATGACAGGCTTTCATCTAACTCATGTATCTGAATACAAATGTTGTCCGTCTTTGAGCATAATGTTGCTAAGTTTGTTAATTCTGTATGGGCTAATCCATACAGCAAAAGCTAAGTCACTCTACCAACAGAACATGCTGTACCATTTCTGCTAATATAGGTGTTGCCAAACTTTGTAAAACCTCGTTGTCTACCACTATGCTTTATGTCTCTCAATACATTATAAAGAGTTTATTTCTCTCAGTGCATTGCAAAGAGTTTATTTAATTCAGTACATTATAACAAGTTTATTTCTCTCAGTACAGTATAAAGTGTTATCGGGACGCATTAAACGACACATGCGTTCAGATAATATCTTATTACTTGACATCTCTGTGCTTGCAGTTTATATTCTATTCGGACAATTTTAGGTGTCTGTAAATTAGCTCAGTAAGCAAAATGCATTAGTCTTATGGTTCCATTGCAGATCATATAATATTACATAATTGCATTAGTTAGCCTAACTCGTCGCCAGTTTAGGAATGCCTTATAACTATGCCGTCTTGGATAATTTCTGATCAAGTTTGAAAATGAAAAAGCTTGTTTTCAATTTGTTACTGCTCTTTCAAATCTTATAATGCATTATTTTCTGTCTCTATCATTTAATAAAGTGATGCTAATCTTCTGTCTAACGAGCACAAAATATGGAAGCCAATCTATCTATTGATGCATTGGGTAGTTCAACGTTTATTGCCTATTTCATCACGATTATTTGTCCACCAGAATGGAAATAAAATCCTCACAGCATTATAGTTGTGAATTAAAGAAATAAATGTGGTGGACATCTTCCTTTCTAACTCGTTCGAAAGATTATCTTTTCAATAATGTATTTTTTAATCCCTCATATGTCAAACAAAATATGCAAAATTTCTTTGCAATATCAGTGTCTGAAACTTATATAAGTTTTCCTTATAGCTCTTACACATATCCGGGGGATTGGATTGAATTAAATTAATCTAACGTGTTATTAACTGTTTGTGTTTCTATAATTAATTTATCTGCAACAAGAATCGTTGATG